GCTGCTATGAGGTCTCCCCAGAGCCTTCTCTTCTCTAGGTGAAACAACCCCAACACTCTCAGACTGTCCTCATACGGGAGGTGGTCCTTCTTATGTTGGGGGCTCCAGAGCTGAGTGCAGTACTCCAGGTGGGGTCTCACGAGAGCGGAGTAGAAGTGGAGAACCACCTCCCTCGACCTGCTGGTCATGCTTCTTTTGATGCAGCCCAGGATACCGTTGGCTTTCTGGGCTGCAAGCACACATTGCTGGGTCACGTTGAGCTTCTCATTAAGCAACACCCCCAAGTCCTTCTCCTCAGGGCTGCTCTCAATCCACTCTCCGCCCAGCCTGTATTTGCGCTTGGGATTGCCCCGACCCATGCGCAGCACCCTTGCACCTGGCCTTGTTGAACTTCATGAGGTTTGCATAGGCCCACCTTTCGCACCACCGGGCTGTAAACAACAATACTAAGGTACATCTAGTCACCAGAGGCAGGCTCTCAGCACAGCTCCGTACCTGCAGATTCAAAGGACCTCCATCCCCACCAAGTCACTTGCCTACGTGGCCAGGTTTTCAGAGGAGCTCAGCACCCTGGGGGCTTGTGCAGGTGCCTGCAGGAAGGCAAAGAAACTGCAGAAAAGCTGGCTCTAAGTGAAGGCTGTGTACTTGGAAATCTGGCCCTACGGGTGGAGAAACATGTCTCAAAATAAAAGTTGCCCAGCATATCAACACCATTTTAATAAATACTAGAAGTAGTGAAATGATTTTTTAATAATGTTTTGACAATTAAGAAGCCTGACAGAAACAGAAACTGGAAATACTTTATCATCAACTCTTTGCAAAAGCGTATTTTTCATTCCAGTAAAAGAAACACATCAACTTTCCTTTTTCCAGCTTATTAAATATTTCCTAGACAAACTAGCCTGTCTTTGCTTAGTCAAATATCACTACTTGTCTAAATAAAATCCAAAGAAAAACTTTTCTATGTTCACTGTTCTTAATATCAATATTCATTAGATAACAGAAATCAGAGAGCATTCGCTCGTATCTGCGAAAAATATGTTCTTGAACATGTTTCCTCTATTTTGATGTACCTACTTAAAAGAAATCTGAATAAACAGAGATGTGACCCTTATCATTCAGTGTGTTGTTTAAAGTCTTCTGAGCTGGAGAAGTCCTTCAGCTTTCTTAGCAGATGAAAGCACGGGATTTGGAACGACAGCATACATGTCTGATTGTTTGTGTGCTTCTTCAGCCTCTCCAGGTTAGTTTATACCTCAAATGCTACCGCTTATGTCTAGTGATTTCAGAAGACAATTCCTCCTGTTTGAAATGCATATATGGGCCAATGGTATAATAAATTCATAGAAGCAAAATGATACGCAGTCATAAACAGAAATGAAAACCAAGCATTTTTCTAGAGGGTAGGGTTCACAAATGCAGGGTTCACCAATGGTTTTCCAAAATGTTCTGCTGCACATAACGGAGCCACAGAGCACACCTGCACAGAGCTGCAGCAGTGGAGGGACTTTAAAAGCCAAATATCCAAGCGTCTGCTCATTGTGCTTTGCTCAGACTCCTGACTGCAGTGTCCGGTCCTGCGCCTTCCTCCTCATATTCTGATGGGATGTGGCAACGCAGAATGTATTAGTACTTACCATATGAGCTGCGGGAATTCACCTGTGCCAGAATGGTATGGAAACTACTTATATTTCTGGTGCCAGGCATGTCTGGGGAGGAGTCTCAAGAGCCTACAGCCTACAGGCTCCAGGACAAAACTGATATGCAATTGCTCAGCAATGCGTAATATTGAAGCAATACTAAAAAAAACGACATTACAGTCATTTCTGTACAATACAGGCTAATACAGGATTCGGGGATTGCTCAAATTCAGCAGAACAGTAAATCAAAATTTCAATTAAAAGTGGATTACGAGTACTTAGGTTTACGGTCTGTCCCAAGCCAAAGACTTAAGCAAGCCGGTTTTCCAGACCTTGGCTCTCATTTGTGAAGCCTCTACTTTCTGTTTTGTTTTGCCATTTACAGAGCAGTGAGATTTTCATTTTTACAGCATTTTTTTTCTTTCTGAAGCAGGAACTCGTCTTCACCAAGTAAGTCCCTGCTCTGCAAAACACTTGAGCTAACACAGAGGAAAAGTGCAATCCTGCCATATCTCCGCAGCACGGGAGAAGCCTTACGGCGGCGAAACCGTAACACTCTGCTGGAGAGGGCAGCTTGTGCTGGCTGCATGTCACAGAGCTGTACTCCATGGAGATGCTATAGGACCATCCACGGGAGGTGGGATGAGTGAGGCCACGTGTCCCTGGATCCACTGGCTGTTTTCCCCTAGGGAATGAGGAGAAACAGGAGCTACAGGAAAAAAACCCTACTGCTCTGCAGTTCGGGTGGGAACCGCACAGCAAGCCCATGGCTCTCCTGCTGGTTGCACCGTCTGCATGTGCCCACACCCATCTCAGGAGCACGGCCAGCGGGCTCACACAATATTTAGGCTTTAGTCCATATATGGTATATTGCTTTGGCACAGTCCAGTTGAGCTGTAAGATATATGTCTAATGTGTGTCATGCAGCTTTTAGAAGATCCCTCATGCAGAAATACCTGCAAAATTATGGTAGACTCTGAAATGTTAGCATTTTGATTAGTCCTAAAGCACAGAAGGAGAAGAAGCTTACAGGATACCATCTGATTTGTGTAAAACCACATCTTACACTTGATGATCACTCTTGACATTTGCCTGTCAAAAACCTACACCTTCTGCGTTTGTGGGATTTGTTTAAACAAGAGACAAAGTGTTACCTGGACCAAAATAGTGCTTATCTCCTTTCCATTTTTTTACACTTATCACACACTGGTTGTTGACTCAAGTATTTTTTTCTTCATGAGCTAAACTTTGGTTTTCTACAATGTCTTGAAACATTAAAAGAATGTTGTGACTGAAATCAAATAAAGCAGGACATCCTAAAATGACTCCTAGAAATACAGCAGCGTCAATGACTGATTCAATCATTGTGCATGGTTTTTAAATACGTAGTCAAGGTGATCGTATTGATCTTTGAAAGGCACGATGGAAACAACCACCAGCAACTTATGAGCAAAACCTTACAGCTACAACACAGGCATAATAAAAACATACTATACTATTAATTCTGATGATTGCAGAAGCACATTCACTCGTACCACTGTTATGAGAGAGTTTGCAAAGAACGTCAGATGTTTTTCAATTACCTATATGCACATATACATATATATTAAGAGAACGTGAGTGGAGAACTAAACATGAATGGGGGGAAGGCATATTTACTATTCAATACCTGCTTCCCTTTCCCCTGCTCTGGTAGTATATTTTTTCTTTCAGGTTTCCCTACACTGAAATGAAAAGATTTCACAGGAATTTAAATCAGTACAGCAGACTAAACAAGATTCCCGATGTTTTCAACAATTACCATAATTAAAGATGTCTTTGCAGAATAAAGCCTAGGCTGGTTCTCTGTTGTCTGTCACTAGGTAGCTATTCCCATCGCTTCACATCAAATGAAACATCAAATGCTTCAAACTCAGAATGTTGGTAGCATAAACCAACTTTGCAGCAGTGAATAGTATTTCCATGATTTAGAATAAAATGGTAAAAAATGGCCTATGTAAAGGCTGGAGAGGAAAGATGCTGCTTAATAAACAGCAGTTAACAACAGGCATGCATTTGAAATACTTATGAGCGTAACTTGGGTGGCAAGGCAATACCTGTTGGCCTCTACAACAGATTTTTGTTGCTGAAAAGTGTTGTGAAAGAGAATAACAACTCTTTTTCTTTCCAATTTAAGAGAAGAACAGTCTTTAAATATACACAGACATACCCACTGGGGATGAAGTTTGCATAAGTAGGCTGATTCAGTGAAGCATAGCTATGCAGCACATATGCAATAAGCAGTCAGTTGCCCATGTCAGGTTTCCTGTGCTTTTATCTTAAATTGAAGTCCTGATAAAAGTCTGGAGTGCATGCAAGCTAACTAGGTGAAATTCCAAATGTGTATTTTATGGGATTTCACCTGCAAAAAGTTGGCAGGTCTCTTCAAGTCATGTGACATGACTCAAGTATTGCTTTGTGGGAATTTCCCTCAGAAGGACTATTTTCACTTGGAAAGTCTACAAAAAAACATGAACCTAATCATTTTTCTAATTCCTCTTCCTTCCAAAACAACAACAACAAAACAACCACCCTTTTTTCCTGTTTTCCCAAAAAAGTGTTCTCAGAAAAAGAGCCATTTCAAATAAAAAAAAAATTCTAAATTTACCTGCTATTAAAATCTTCATACAAGCCTGCTTGGAATTCAGCTAGCATGAGTACTTTATTGTCACTTCACAGCCACCAATATAAGCTTCCAAAATAAATTGGCACATGTGTTCCTGAACATTTCCTATACATGAAGCATTTTGTATGGACCACTCTGATCTCCATCCACACTGTGCTTTTCATTGCTACCCAAGAGCGGCATCAGCCTGGAGCACTATTTCACCCCGCGCGAGATAGTGAGGGACAGGGTGACTGGAAGGAGAATCCTCACACCACTTCCAGCTCAGAGCCCAGCATGCTTACAATGCTGTGGTGCGAATTCAGAAGTATTATTCAAATGCAGTGTACCCTCTGGGGCCACAAAGTCAGACTGAGGGTTGACAGCAACTTAGCAAGAGAGCTCAGCGCGTTCACAGTTTGTGGCTACACATGTGAGTTTGTGCTGGGGCTCTTCAGCTCCCAAAAGCAGAAAAAGTCCTTGTTCCAACAGGTCTCTGCCACCAATACAAAAGAAAATAATCTGCAGAGAAGGTCTCTTGTGTGGGCAGCAGAGAGAAAGGCAGCTCTCATGGTTTGATCCTCACTCTCATTTTATAGCACCAGGTATACCTCCAAATTACTCAAGTTACTAAAGAATTATCAGAGCCATATATCTTTCTAAGTAATCATCATTATCTCTCATTTTTACTAGCACAGATAAGGAATGTATTTTACCATTAGCAGGAAGATAGGTGAAAAGTTGGTACTGGCTTCTCTTTCTCTTTCCGTTGCAGACATAGAAGTTGACCTGAACAGGGCTGGTAATCCTCTGATTGCGGAAAGGTGGTATCTCAACCACCAACGAATTCTGCAAAAGCAACAAATCAGAAAGTCAAGGCACAACTAAGGCAGTCGAGCTGTACAAGAGTATTCACACGTCAATCCCGAGAAGGAAGCACCCAGGCTCACAAGGAGTAACACACTCTCTGCAGGGGAACTGGTGGGCTTCGTGGGCAGGGATGGCCTCCCGTCGCCCCCAGTGTCCTTGTGCCAAGGACTCTAGAAGTAGAGAAATAAGATTTTAGCATGGCTTGAGTCTTTACAAAATCACTAGCCTTCACCTCTTCCCTTTGGACAGTAAATACGATACTGCATATGGACAAGGCTCTATCCCTCCTGCCTCTGACAAGAATCTGGGACCACAATCAAATCGCGGTCTCTCAGTCAGCAGGAGAAAGCACAACCGCTCGGCTGGCAGGTCATCCCCAGTATATCTCACCCTAACACAACTTCCTTTGAAAGGAGAATTAGGACAGGCATATGATTATTAAAATATTTCCATTTTCCACAGTGAAATGTTTTTTCATATAACAACTCAGGAAGTTTTAAGCATGCTAGTTTCTGTGGATGGGAGATCTTGCAAGAACATCTAGGGCTAAAGGAAGAAGGGCTGGAGAGTGTGTAGATGATCTTCTACTGTCAGAAATCAAATGCTCCAGCACAGGGCTAAGGAATGACTTAGCTTTAGGGCATCAGCTTACACAAATGCGCAGTGAAATCTGCTATGACCATCAAAACGTCCCTTGGCACTTTTTGAAAGAATAAAAGGGAACACTCAGCATTTGGCCTGCATTCAGCTGAGGTCTTTAAATTGTTTGCCTGCATGTCTCCAGCAGGTTTGCAGCTAACAAACTGTTGCATATTCCTGCAGAGGTGGAATAGTGGCCATATTTCCCACTTATAGTCATGGCTGAGGGAGCCACACTTCTCCAACCGTGGGGCTGATCTCACATTTCTTCTGCCGACAGTAGACGTAAGCCAAGGAAAATGATCAGAAATTGCTTTGGGAGCAGAGGGAAGAACTGACCCAGCAAGACAGAAGATGAGCAGATGGGGCTGGCCCATCCTGGACAAAGAAAAAATATTTTCCAAATGGTCTCTCCTACTTTCCAGATAGCTTCCAACAAAGGCTTTTTACCCCACACTCCCATTAAAGAAAGATTTCCAGGAGGGGAGGCCTAAGTACTTGTTCTGTTTCAGTGGGAAGAAACAGTGCCAAAGCCTTGGAAATCCCTCTTTAGTAACAGTGCTGGAGAAGGCAATATATATTTTTCATCCTGATGTTAAAATATTTAAGGCAGACTTACTGGCTTGCACATTTCTTTGTCGGTTTTGGCTTCCATTTCCCACACATGGTGACCATCTAAAAGACAAAAGAAAAAGATACCTAGTTCCGGCCTTTTTTCCTCTCCCAAGCCTACAAAAGAATGACTTTTGCAAAAAAATCTCTTTGAAGGGGCACTGCATATATGAAAATCAGCTCTCAAAATGCATTGGCCAAGTGTTGCCCAACCAGGAGGCCATCTGGGTAACCCATGATGGAAGTCCACTTAGCTTTTTTCAAGGGGGGAACCACAATCCAGAATGCATGATACTGCAATGGGGGAAAGCCACCAGGATTTTATTCTGCCACTAGTTTGGACAAAATATGCAATTGTTCTACACCTTAGTTTCCCAAACTTTCAGACAAAAATACTGCTACCTATGAGACCTTTTGATCACTACCTATGCAGGAAGTCATATTCAGCATTAATATTAAAAAAAAAACAAAACAAAAAACTAGTATTAAGGAAGCTCCTCAGCCATGCAGTATTTTATTTTAATATATTCCTAGTCTGGCTTGTCATAATTCTGCTGCTTGGATCAAAAGACAAGGCCATAGGCTGGGAAACATAGCTTTTGACTCCATTTTAAAGTTGGTTTAGCTCAGCTACAGTGGTCCCACCTACAGTTTTCTGGAGCTGCTTCTAGTGGTGTGTTGGGTCCTCCTAATTTACTGTATTTCTGTTTTCAAGCAAACATAGATTTAAGCCACAGCTATTACTTTTTCTGGGGACCTATCTTTTGGAAGAAATTGGTTTTGTCTGGTCATTTTTCCTGCACCTCACTGATACAGAAGTCACTGGTCAATAACACGTTTCTTTTTCTTCCTTGCGGCTTCAAAACTCAACAGCAAAGAAATTAGAAAAATAATACAAAATGTAAGGTTTCCATTCTGCAGGCCTAGAAAAACACAAACGTGTATGAAAGGCCACAAGCAGACTGCTGTCTAAGTTGGGCAGCGGAGACACATGCAGCTTCATGAGTCCCACCATTGTCAGATGTCACCAGAATGAAAGGGAGAATGAGACTTTATGTCATCTCTTTTGTATATTTATTGCAGCATCGGGACATGCAAATGCAAATACTAGCTATTTTGAACTTCATCACATAGACGTGGGCCTGCCTTAGAAAAACAGCTCTCGGCAAGGTAAAAGAGTGAATGCACTTTTTCTTCTCTCTTCGCTTTCATGGCCAGGATGGAGGTGACGCATTTAGAACTGCCTGATTTATTACAAATGTCTGTAAATAATATTTTTGTGTACAGCTGTCCTACTGTGAAAGGAATGCTGCTGAGGGACTAGCCCTGGCGATTGTTTTAACGTCCAAAACCCCTTTCTTTTTAATGTATGGAAAGAAGTGCAATGTGAAAGCTGCAGCACAAATAGCACAGTGGATTTGGCAGGTCTTTCTGTAGGAAACAATTAGCAGATCTACCCTTAGTTTCTTCCTACATTTTAAATTGTGACGCTGGAAAAGGAATCCCTTTAATTGGTACTGCCACGTTCGGCTGCGGGGAGAGAAGGAGCCGCCAAACTGTGCTCAAGTCTCCTTAACGATGCCTTTTGAGAGCGCCAGAATTGAAGCAGACTTCTCGGGAGGACTGGCGATCACTTCACAATTTATCCAACAGATGCTTCCCCCGAGCTGTCAGTAGAAAAAACCTGACCAAAATTCGGCAAGCCAGGACACATCCCTTGTCTGGGAGCAGCCTCCTTTATCTCCTGCCCACTCCCTATAGAGCCCTTGTAGCCCTCCCTCCCCCCCCAATTAATTCAATCAGTTGTAAAAGTAACACAACACCGACACTATCACACATTTTGCAAAGTCTAGGAACTTCTGCTTTGTAAGGGGTTTGTTGGTGTGGTTTTTTTTAAATCTACAGCCGTCCAGACTAGTAGTTAACATGTGTTCAATTTGCCTTTGTAAATGGATTACCAGAAGTTCAGGTTTTTTGCTATGTTTAATTTCTGCTTTGCAAGACGAATGATCTGATTCAGGTTTCTGTTTTTTATTTCCTGCCGATACTTCAGTAAAATTCAAAACGACTCCATCTCTAGCTAATCTTTCAATTACTTCACGCAGCACTGCCTTTACGCGCTTTTGAAATTTTTATGATGACAAAGAGAGTTTGTTCAGAAATATTTTAAATGCTGTAATCAAAACTATTAGGAAAATAAAAATCCAGAGCCGTGGCTTGTCTTTGGAAGCTAATAAGAACAATACGGGTTTCGCTCCAAGAAATTCCCTTGAGACTGTCCAGACCATCACAGCTCAGCGACTGAGGGGAAGGGGAAGAGAGGGAAGAAGTAGGGAATAGACAACTCATTAACAGCTAGTGACATTTCATTTAACAAAAACATAGGGAGGAAAAGTTGTTATGAAGCAGAGACAAAAAAAAAAAAAAGACAATTCCTCATGTTACGTCTGGTGAACCAAGAGGGAAATCTCAACGCCCACGGACTGGGACCAGCTCCAGGAGGGAAACCTTAGACCACTACGTCAACCTCTTACAGTAAACATGTTTTGCAGGTTTATACAGTTCAGCTGAAATTAAAAAAAAAAAAAAAGAGAGAAACGAATAATGGCTCCGGAATGGTTTGTGGGAGCCTGAAGCATCAAGACAATCTGCCTGCACCAGAGAAAACGGTTTTGCCCCCCCGTGCCCATATGCTGGGGGACCCTGGCGAGCAGGCGGGATGCCGCCTCCCGTCAGTGTGCGCTGGAGGAGCGAGGGCTGCTCAACCACAAAAGTTTCCATTGTACGCCTGCCACATCTGCAGCAGCCCGCCTGGTTCGGGGCCCAAGGCAACTCCCTCCTGGCCGCCGGCCAACCAAAGTACACCAGAGCAATTTATACCTTTCCAAAATGCAAATAATTCAAATTACAGACATAACACAAAGCTGAAGCAGACACATTTCAGGCATTCCCGTTAAAGTTTACTCTCTGGAATTACCGTACCCAAATGGGCAGTTGTTATACAGGGAGAGGGGGGAGACGGAGGCAGGAGAGGAAGGAGAGGAGGAGGCGGGGAGGAAAAGGGAGAAGGGAGAAAACGGCTTTTCCAAAGGTCTCATTTCATTCCCTTTCATTTCGCTATTTACTTTTACCAAGTAATAAGAAGTGTCTTCTCCAAACCAAATGCCTGGCTTTGTTTTGGCGTTTTTAAGATTTATAGTGCAATATTTTGAACAGAAAGACATCTCTTTATATTGCTAAAAAGTTGTGTCAAGGTATTATACTGGATTTGTTTTATTTTGAGGGTTTTTTTTGCAAAAGGGAAATAAAAACAAAACATCCATGCACAGAACCGCAGGGCAAAAGCCCTGCAGAGTCTCCGGCGGAGTGCCCCACTCCCCACTCCCCCGGTGCCAGCAGCAGCAGCAGTTGACCCTACCAAGCCAAGGCTTCACCTGGGGACCCGTGCCAAGGGCTGGAAGAAGGACCCTCAAATCCCTCCTCCTCCGAAGAGGCAGTGCAGGAGTGTGGCAGTGCCAGGGGAGCAAGAAAACCCCGTTTCGCACGGGCTCTCCAACTGCGCCTGGGCTCGGCACTGCGCTGACAGGTGGCCATCAGCGCTGCCGCCAGCTGAAGACACTGGGTTTTGTCAGGAAGCCTGACATTTACAGACCGATCGCTGTTATTTATAGCCATCCCTGCTTTGGGTGCACTTCACCACCAGCCACTTCAGCCTTCTTTTTTTTCGGCACTGTGACACTCAGAGCACCTGGGATTGCTAATGACGAAAATACCGCGAACCTACCGCGTTATGTGGGGTGGATTTTCAGCTTTGCAAAGCATAAACACCCCGTTTTAACATGCGGCAGCTGAACGGTGAATGGGCCTTTGTAGTCTGCTCTTATCAGCCGCTCGCTCCAGTGTTAAAGGAAACTGCACACAAGTCCAGAAGTAAAAATACTCTAATTCATCAGGGAATTCCCTGCAGTATGAGTCACTGAACGGCTTCCCCACCACACCCAGCTACAAGATTTCCACATAAAAAGGCACTGTAGAGGCCTGTTTTAACACAGAAGCAGCGCTAAAAAATAGTTGTGTAAATCTAGCGGCATCAGTTATTCACACATAAAGCCTCGCAGACCACGACATATGGATTTTCTTCATGGAAGAACAACACAAAGAGCTGTAAAGACTTTCCAAATAAATTTTTCTACCGTCTTCCCCTCCTCGCTGCCCATCAGGACAGATCCCCCAGGGTTTCCAGGGCTGCATTTACCTTTGTACCCCAGGGAACTGCAAGTGTAGTGCCAGGGGTTCGCAAGCTCACAACAGTCAAACCACCAGCATAACTTTCATTACAGACCAATGGACGGCAGAAAAGGGAAAGAATATACACTACCAAAAAAAAAAAAAAAACCCAAGCCTGGAAACTCAGGAGGGTATAACATCTGGCAACCACTTAAACCTTGCCTCTATGAAATGGGCATAATGGGAGCATTCAGATATATTTAAGTGATTTCACTTTACTACAGGAGGTTAAAACAGTCTGTATTCTTTAGTAGTCCTGTGTTCACTTGAGATATGAGAAGAATAGACATTATCTAGGATTTCACTGCCTGTACACAGTGTACTTTTTATACTCTTCCAGCCTGCTGCTCAACAGAGTTTGACTGGCTGGACTGTAAATCTGTATTTACATTCATATATTGCAAGTAAGATGGTGAAACTAGCTCTACCCTCCCAAAGGAACCCACTACTTGATTAATGTGTTGTGAGATTACCCTAAACAATAATGCCTATATTACATCCCAGATTACTTTAACATGTCCGTAACAGGCAGGGCACAGATGCAATGCAGAACGATTATACAGCGTAATTTTGAGGTGTTCTGCAAAGGTTGTCTACCTTCCTATTTGGCCCTGTTAATGCATATTCAAATCTCTTAGGAGTGAAGGATTTGCAAGTTTTCAATTTGCACCCCAACCCCTTTTCCCTGGGAAGTACACTCATGGCACTGAGATGACTGATCTGTGAACAGGTCTGGAAGGAAAGGATGGGTTTCCAGCCAGAGATGAGGATGAAGA